TTCATAGCTATGTTGTAAGTACTAACTACTATTTTTATTGTTACCTTTACTGGTACTATCATTATCATATAAATAATTGACTGAATTTTTTTTTATTTTAAGAGCCGATTTTACTGAATGTTTTCTTTTTCTTTTAACAGGTAAAAAAAATGCGCGATGTTCTTACTCTAAAAAAAAATCGCAAGCTATTACATAAAAACATTGTTTTTATGGAAAATCGCGGAAACTGATAAGAAATATTGGGAAAATAAATTAGGCGTTCTTTTCAAAACTATGGTCGAAGAACTATATAAAGCTATAGAAAGGAAAAATATACCATATTATTGGAATCAACAACACAATTTGATTTCTGACTTAAAGGACTCATATAGGATTGAATATTTGATGAAAATTAGAAATGTGCTCGAGGGTATAGAATCAAACGATATAGACAGAATATTGGCTGGGTTGTTGACAAATGACGAATTAAAAAAATTTAAGCAATTAGATCTTTACACGAAGAAGAGCACACCTGCGATTAATAGAAATAATCGCAGTCAAGACACCTCTGACATAGAAATGATAAAAGCTTTGCTTAATCAAATGGAAGTGGTTGCTAAAAAAGTTGATAAAATTAACACCCAACTAAATACGTTACAATTAAACGAAGAATTAAAAGAAGAGTGTCAAGATGTTGTTCAGAGTTACGAGAAAATTTCTAAAGAGATTAAGAAGAAAAGCTTTTTGGAGAGAATAGCTGACAATATCCATAATAATGTACATGCCAGGGGTGGATTAGAGAATTTTACTGACCAATTTATGGACCTAGTTGATTAATCAAATGATAAGGTTCGTAATAATTGCCCACGATAAAAAGTATATATTAATGCTTTAAAATTAAATATCCATATTAAAACTTGCATATTTACATCCTATAACACTTAAATAATAAAGTTAACAAACGCACAACCAGAAAACGAGTTTATGCCAGTTTAAAACTTATCATGCAGCTTGTAACACTATTAAAATCCACATATCTCAAAATTGAAAACCAAATTAAATAAATGTAATATACCAATAAAAAATAATAATAAAAACAAGAAAAAAGAAAGAAAGAAAATTATTTATTTAGCGCATATCAATAACAATTATAACTAAAACATAAATAAACTTAAACAAAAAGGAAATACAAAAATAAACTTACACCTAATTAGAAAGAATGTAACCAGAACGGTCCACCGCTCAGCTAAGTGTTTAGGCATTCATACATAATGCCTAAACGCTGATACTTCTTGCATTCGAAAATAAAAAAGTAATAGTCAATATAACTCAAAATGGAACTTAAAAAGTATTTTCAAATATTGGTTTTATTGTTTGTGATTCTATCAAAATTTCAGATGATTGTTCTGTTAAGGATTAGAGATGAAACTATAAGATCCTGAATTGAATAATTCATTGAATTACCAATTGATAGTATGTAAACATAATATTTATTTTGGTGTACATGTCTTATACCACAGTAAATGCTTATATTTACTACTAAATACGAAGAACATTTGGTATAAATGTGATTTTTTTTTTCTATCTTTTATTTATTTTTAGAATACAATAATTATTATAAGTATAAAACAGAAATGTAATAATTAATAATTTCTCCTATATTTCATTGTAAAATTGAATGCTCATAGGTAGCTATGAAAATCTTTTTCGAAACAACAAAATCATTCTTGTCTTTATGCTTGAGGTTGTTACTCGTAGTTCCGCCCTACGCTGCATTTGCCCATTTGGATCTTTCTTCTCCATTATTACCGATAGTAGGTACTTTTTTAATGGATGATTATGGAATGGTATTCCCACCTGCGCTATCGGTATACAATTTGCGGGGCGCCAGTCAGGCGTGATAGGTTAGTATGCAAGCAGATCAGTTGGCCCATCATCGTGACGAATTTACAAAAAAATTACCACAATAGTTTCCAGAACTGCATGGACGTCGATCTGATGAATTATCTGAAAAACGGTCGATGCTGTGACAAAACATCCAAGGAACTAGTTAATCTCAGTGCATTTACCTATAAAATAACACCTTATTTATTGCCGCATGATAACCGGTTCACGATATACATATAATAATTACTAACTCTGACGTAATTGCGCTGTGTGTTCCCGGCATAGAATAGGCCACCCCTTTCTTTTTAAAGGAGCAAATCCTCGAACAGAGCCCACTCCACAATGTTTGCTTGTATTGTATGTATTGATTGTAATGATCGAATTCAAAAAAGCAAACACCATGCAAAGAATTTATATACCGTCATAATATTTTGTTATCGCCATTTTGTGTGTACGAATAATGTAATATGTATATGTCTTATTAGCCCAAACAACTTTGTAAATTATCAAAGTAATTTTTTATAAGTAGTTTGTAAATTTCGTTTCGGTGATTTTAATTTTCTATTCATATTAATCATCATCGTATCAGCTGTTATCTGTCCAAAACTGAACATAGGGCTCCCCCATAGACTCCCATATAAGGAACGAGATCGTCTCTCATGGCAGGTGAGTTGGCAATCGCAGTTTGACTTTTAGTGATGTTTTAAGAGGGACACTGTTGCCCCTCGCTCGATCATTAAGTTCCCTTAGTCGCCTCTTACGACACCCACGGGAAAGGAAGTGTTGGCCCATTCTATTCCGGGATCACACAGAAATTTTTTATTAGTCGATTTTAATAAATAATTTGCATTCTTAAATTGTTCTTTCCTTTTAACAGGTGAAAAAGCTACGCGAAGTTTTAAGACTGAAGGCGATAGCGAGTTACTACATTAAAACATTATTTTTGTGGAAAATTTATCAAAACCCCAAACAATATTGGGAGACAAAATTAAGTACAACATTCAAGGTCATGGTGGAAGAACTCTATAATGCTATACGCGTGAAAAATATTCCATATTTTTGGAACGCGGAACACAATCTAATCAGTGGATTGAAAGATACACTACAGAATGAATACTGTGAAAAATTAAAGAGAGTTCTCGATGGAATTGAATCGAACGATTTGGAAAAAGTTCTGGCCGGATTACTCACTGTAAATGAATTGAGAGAGTTTAAAACATTCGCATGTTACCAGGCCCAACCCAGTCCTGCAGTGAGCACTCAGTCTGTAGAAGTGAACCCTCCGAATGACAATAATGAACTATTAAGGATTTTGGTTAAGAAAATGGAGATTTTAACTAAACGAGTCGATGATTTAACCGAGAAAGTTGACTTGTTGAACCTAAAAACTGGTCTGCTATAAGGTGAATTTGTCGAATATTAGGTATCTTAAATTCTAATATATTTTTAAAGCATTTATACAAAAATACAAAACTTTTTGACAACTTTAAAGCAATTTCAGGCATCTATATTTTAGTAAAATAGGGTAGCAAATCTATTACAAATTGATAGGTCTTTTGAAATGGTAACTCAATTATACCTTCATAAAAAAAAAGGTTGTTTCTTCAGGGTCTGCAAAACGCGCGTATTGCAGGCATTTGTAAGCTACGGTAACCACTTACCATCAAGTGGGCCGTATGCTTTTTGCCAAAGGGAGAATTTGTACAAAAATAGTTTGCTTGGCCACCTCTGTCCCATTCGTGTTCCTACCGTAAAGCAGTTGTTTTTGCATGGCTGTGTTTTGGTTTAAATAGTGGGATATGCCAGTGAATTTACAGGGCTGTACCCTGGTTTTCAGCTCAAGTGAACTTGGTTTGAAAGTGATGGCGTCTCCCTGAAAATCATAATGAATTCATAAAGATAAACCGAGGTTTTTCTAAGAGATTACAGCATGGGATTCTTCAAAAAGGGGGACAAGAGATTTCTTCAGGGTCGGCAGTACGCGCGTATTACTCTTGGTATATAGTAATAATATAATATATATAGGTATATAGTAATAATAAAGACAATATGGACTCCATATCGTGACATATCTTTGGTATTTTTTTATGGTTTAGTTTTAAGTACTACAGTATAAAATACATAATTATTCTTAGATCATATAAATCTAGATAGTAGAACCTCTTACGCAAACAAAAAAAAACCCTAATTTTATTTTCAAAAATTTGTCTTTTTTATAATTTTGTAATTAACATCTTTTATCACGTATCAAATATTATACGTTTTGGCTTCTGTACTCACAACTGATTGGACATTTTAACTCTTTGTGTGAAGAAAAGATGCGTCAGACAATAATTACGATACGACATCATAACCTAAAAAGAACATATTTCTTACAAATGCTCATGGGCTGCGGTAGTCACTTACCATCAGGCGAGGTGCATGCTGGTTTGTTCCTATTTTAAATAATATTAATTCGACGTTTTTTTACACTACGCTCTATCTAGGTACATATGATCTATACTAGACATATTTACTGTTATTTTTAAATATTTTATTGAATTAAGTGTCACTATTATTGTAATCAAATAACCAGTGTTATTTATAAACATTGTTCGCTTGCGGATTGGTCACCGATTGTATTCAAATAGGATATTAAATTCAACTTGATAATTATAAAGTTGGTGCTATCTAGAGATAATTGTAATTTATGTCATGTTTTCAATCGATTCTTGGTTTAATTTGTTTGTTGTCAAACTTGTACACTACAAGAGGCAATATATTTGCAATATTGAGTAAATTAATACCATATTCCTAATTTCATACTACCCCCTTATTCATAAAAACAAGTGTAAAAAAAAAAACAGTTTAATAGATAAAATAGGTTTTTCCTTTTTTTTTTTTTGATGGGTGAAAATGCTATGGTAACTCCGCTTGCGCTAATGGGATACGCTGGCGGAGCACCAGTGAAGGGTGATAGATGAGATGAAAACAGGCCAGTTAGCCCATCATGATGAATTCATCAGGATTTAACCATGATAGTTTCCAAGAAGAACCGCGAGGAGGTCGACCTGGTTGGGTATATTGCTAGCAATGGGATTCTTAATCTTCATTACTAACAATCCCTTTCCCCCCGATAAAATAGGTTTATAAGAGTTTTTATGAATAAGGCATTAAAAAGGGCAATACCAGTCTGGCAACGCAATATGCGTGGTGTACTCGAAATCACAAGCTTAAAACTATTTCAAAGGAGTGTTCCACCAGAAAAACAAAAGTTTTTTAAGAAATATTTATTCAAAAATGTGAAACTCCTACGCGAACTTAACAGCTGGATGCATTTTTTTTTAAATTATATACATGTCATGTCATACATGACATGTATATAATTTTTAAGACAAATTATTAAGATAGATCAGTAAATTGCACATTTTTTTTCCTGTAAAATAATGTAATATATGATATTAATAGATATTATAGATTTTTTTTTATTAAAATAACTGATTTTGTCACAATTGAATTCGGTATATTTTTTTTTACTTATTTTTGACTTATTAATTTATGACTATTTATATAAGAAGTTATTCAAATATACTCGCTTTAAATTCTATATCCATACTACCTTAACATACTACATATAGTATTTTTTATAGGTTAAATATTTCGTTTAAATATAAAATTATACTATGCAAAATGTTATTTAAAATTATTTTTTTATTATATTATGAAAAAAAAAATAAACGTGTGCTTTTTAATTTGTGTTATCATTTATCTTATTTTATCTTCAAATAATAAATGCTTAATTTATGGTTTACTAGCTTTTACCCGCGACTTCGCTCGCGTGACCGGTATTTACTGACTGGAATAAAAAGCATCCTATATCCTTCTCTATCCCATATAATACGTGTGTACCAAAATTCATAGCGATTGGTTAAGCCGATAAGGCGCTATAAGGTAACAAACAAACAAACGTACTTTCACATTTGTAATATTTCATTGTTAAAAGTTTATTAAGTACACATATTTTAATGTAATAACTACCGGTTTAACTTATGTGTACATAATTTAGTCGAGAAAACTTGACTACGTTCTATCCTGGAGCTCGACTGCCATCTTTCTTATCTGTGATGGTACCGCGAACGCCTACAGGCCGCACCTATCGGGTAGAGGCGCCAATTCAGGCTTACGCTCGCGTCACAGCCACTCAAGACTAAGGGTCCCGAACGGTCCCAATACTAATCGAGGTTTCTCGACCAAATTACACGTCAGTTATTACGTCAAAATTTATAATATTATTAAGGATAAGGATTTTAATGAATAAAGATGGAATGATAGACCCGTTTGGCGGGCTATCATTCCATCATACTAATGGTGAACAGTGTCAATGTACCAGTTGTTGTTGAAGTTAGGTAAGTTTTTTTATACCACTGAGGTGGCAATCAAGCATACGGCCCACCTGATGGTAAGTGGTTACCGTAGTGGGGAAAGGGATTGTTAGTAATGGAGACTAAGAATCCCATTGCTAGCATAATACCCAACCAGGTCGACCTCCTCGCGGTTCTCCCTGGAAACTATCATGGTTAATTCCTGATGAATTCATCATGATGGGCTAACTGGCCTGTTTTCATTCTCATCTATCACCCTTCACTGGTATTCTGCCAGCGTATCCCATTAGCGCAGGCGGGGTTACCATACCATTTTCGCCCATAAAAAAAAAAAGTAGTTACCATAATAGGCTACGGTAACCACTTACCATAATGCCTTTTTTTAACAGCTTATAATGGCAAACAAGCTGACTGCCCACCTGATAGAAAGTGGTAACCGTCGCCTATAGACATGAGCAGTATCATGAGCATAACAGAGTATACTGTTTCACCCATGATACCCCTCATGCCTTGTCATTTCTGAGGACTCAGATGTTATTCTTCTGTACCCTGTAAATTCACTGCCATATTCCACCCTTCAAACCGAAACACAACCATGCAAACATAACTGCTTGACGGTAGAACCACAAATGGGACAGAGGTGCCCAAGCAATCGACTTTTGTACAGTCTCCCTCTGGTAACATAAAATGAAAAGGAAATTTTGGCAGTTTGTTAACGAAAACCGTCAGCTTGTTTGCCATTCTAAGTTGTATAAAAAAAAAAGTATAAAATTACAAACAAGCATCGATTTCGTATAATTTAATATTGGTTTTAAAATAATATTGTTTAACACATTGATAGCAGTCATGGATTTTACCGACACATCCCTTGTAATACCTGCATGTTACAATTCAAACATATCAGATAAGTATGACGTGGACACTAACATTTTGCTTTATACTGCGTTAAAATTAAACGTTATTGGCTGATATACTGAGGGCCTACCATGAAATGTTTTCCGAAATTTCGGAACCAAACGAAACACAAATTTGATGTTAAAATTACATAATACATGAAGTTTGGAAATTTTAAAAATGTTGAAATATTGTTCCTTTGGACTTTTATGATAGGGTGTATGACGAACGAAATGTTAAACTCCATTTATTGGTCCGATTTTGGTATAAACAAAAACACGAAATTGAGTCCGACATTTCGGAATTTCATTTCACGGTAGACCCGCTGAACTAGATACATAAATCGTAGCTTTGTATTAATTATACAAACAATTTGAGTATATTTGCGATACATTTAAATTAAAAAAAAAACCGACGAAGGTTCTACTTATAATAGACCAGGGGCTAACAACATAAAAACTAATATAATTCGATCAAGTTCAAATGAAAATAAAAATATTACCAAAACAAAAATCAAATTATTTCTGAATAAAAAAAATACATACGTACCTAATAGAAACATATATATAATGTACGCATTTAAAGGTGCTATTGACATAAAATTTGTAGAGACAACACTGATGACAGCTAGATTTTATTAGGCCCTTGAAAATCCCAATAATTTGTTTTTGTGATCGGGATGTGTGACAACATAAACATGGTTGGTTGGGGGGAAAGGGATTGTTAGTAATGGACTAAAAATCCTATTGCTAGCAATATACCCAACTAGGTCGACCTGCTCGCGGTTCCCCCTGGAAACTATCATGGTTAATGCCTGATGAATACATCATGATGGGCTAACTGGCCTGTTTTCATTCTCATCTATCACCCTTCACTGGTGCTCCGCCAGCGTATCCCGTTAGCGCAGGCGGGTTACCATACCATTTTCACCCATCAAAAAAAAACCTAAACACGGTTGCTAGCCCCTAGTCTACAATAGAAATCTTATATTAATCACCTCCATCATCGAACAGAATGATCAAAAATAAATATTGAAACGCACTCATTGTGCCCATCTTGAGACACCTTTTGTAAAATACAAACACAACGTGCATCCGAAGCGGTTTTTTTTTATCAATTACGTACACATCTAGTGACTTTTCCTATATTTGACAAATTGTTAATATGCGTGAGTCTAATTTTACAGGAAAATATTAACGTACTATTAGAGCTTTTTTTTTTTAATTTATTTCTATATCTATAATAAGTGTACAAACTATACAGCAATAAACAAAGGATAAAGCTAAATTAGTCTCACGCAATATATTATTAACTTAATTTAGCTAACAATATGAGATATATTTATATTATAGCCTGAGATCTCGCCGCTCATTTCTGCATGTATAAAACTTTTTAATGAAACTTGGTTTAATTAAATGAAAGATGAGCTAAAATATAATATAATACACAATTGCCTACTATCCAGCCGCAATTTAGATTATCAGGTGGCAATCCTTACTTGCGGTCGTTTTTATATAGGCAACCCTATGTTGTAGTATAGAAAAAAAAAATAAACATACATTTAGCGTTTTATTAAAAAGCATGAGTTTAGCAAATTTTAGCAGGCAACCCAGATGCATTGTATTTAACTCAACTTTCATTTAAAACAAGGTTTATTAAAAAGTTTTATACCTGCAGAAGTCAACGAGGGGAACTTGGGCTATTATAATTTAACGCTAATTTTATTAAGTAATCTAAATAGTCTAACGTAATACGTACAATATACAAAAAAATAGGGAGATTAAACGAAACGTTAACTTTATGACCGGGTCTTGGTTTGGAGAAAAACAAAATTTTTGATATGTCATATTTAATTCCGTTTAATCGCCACTACATTTTGAATACATGCGTACAATTTGGAATGTGGCAACATTTTTTCAATACGCAAGTTATTCTCTATAAAAATGTACTTCCATCGAAAAACAACCTAATGGAGATTGCAGAAGGAATATTTTTAGCAAACAAGACGATGCCTTTTCTCTCTCTCTCTCTTACAATTTAAAGTAGAAAGTGACATCATTCAATATTTTTTTTCACAGTCAGTATCCCCATTTAATTTTATACTTTTTTATTTTTACGGCGGGAGAAAAATAATAGATTCTACCACAGAGTAACTAATATAAGATAAACTATTACATTGTTTATCCTATTCTGTGATACTAGTAACCTTAGACCAAGGAATTTGAGTTTAAAATACAATTATCTATTACTCTTCAAACATACTTATTAACAAGCTGTCTACTAGGCATTGGACAGTATCGATACCGCACTAATATCTATATATTGGGTTTTCCTGGACATTGATGATAATAAAAGGTCATCCAATCATCATCCAATGGGTTCTTAATGTCGATATTATATATTGGATAACCGATAACAAAATCCGTTATTGAGTATACTCGTATACTATATACATATGCAGTTCCAGTATATAGATTTAGTAACTATATACGCTTTGCCCAATCCTACTGTTTTCTACATACTATAATAGACAGATTGTAGGTACCACACTAAATGCTCACCATATTCAGTTTTATACTCAATTACCTACATTTTGTATTTAAACTACATACAAAAAGCTAGGTAATAAAACAGGTATGTACAGACACATTATTTTATTTAATAATAATGAATAATAATAAAAATGTTAATATAAGCTAGTTATATGGACAGAAAATAATTGAAATATAAGAAAATATCAAGCATACGGCCCACCTGGTGGTAAGTGGTTACCGTAGTGGGGAAAGGGATTGTTAGTAATGGAGACTGAGAATCCCATTGCTAGCAATATACCCAACCAGGTCGACCTCCCCGCGGTTCCCCTTGGAAACTATCATGGTTAATTCCTGATGAAAATAGTATATGATTCCATGTGATAATTATAGAAAAAAAAAATTTGCTCCATTTGTAATTGAAAGTGAATGTGCGTTTTTCTTCCCGCCATAAAAAATATATTTCATTCATTATCATTCAAAATCAATATAAGCATATATTGGCACCGTTTCACATATTAGGTAGAACGATTTGAAAAAAATATGCCACACCCATTGCAGTGCATTAACCCAAGCTAAATTTGTTTATAACGGCCCACTCGAGACACTTCCCATATAATCACATAAACAAAATGATTTATTGACAAATCTCATCAAACTAAATGTTTCAACAACAACAAACTTCAATTTTTAATTAATAACTACCGTACCCTTCCGATAACATAATCATTATACTACCAGACAATACGTAACTTTTTGATAAAAAACGAATCATTAAAATCTGTTGACTATACTTGAGAGAACACAGCGACGTCGTGACTCTTGTTTATTTCTTTCTTTATTTAAAAAGTTTTATTGTCTATACAATAAAAAAATAAAATAAGAATCTTATAAGGAACGTTTATGGTTCTAATACCAGAAAATAACAGAAGACAACGGCTGTATAGGCTTAGTCCTTTCGCCTTCCCTATTCATAGGTAAAACAGAATCTTAAAAAAAGTATGGTTCGCACAAGATACGCTTCGAATTGCGATTGTCATCTGTGAACTTGGTTATGTGATTACGCGAAACAGCATCTCTGTTAAGGCTATAATTCAATTGGAACAACATTACTTAACACTCGCGAAGTTAGGCGTAGCTCAGTCAACTATACATCACAATTAGGGCGGTACTGCGTTACATTATTAAAAAAAAAAAAAAGTTTATAGCCCGTCAGATTCATGCATAGAGTTGAGCAGCGGCACTCGAATGAGGATTTAAATTTAGAACACTGCACAACACTACGCATTTGCGCCAACTCACTTCACTGCACTAGATATGTCAACTCAATTCTTCAAAATGTGTTGACAAGCACCGAGAGAATTCGGAAAGCGTTGAGAGAAATCCTAAACGCTTGTGGTGTTACATGAATACTTTGTCATTTTATTTAATGCAAATTTAAACTCCGTGAATATATTTTTTTTTTCTAAATTTTATTTTACTTGCCGCAAAATTATGACAGTCGGCTGTATTGACAGCAAACATAAACAAACGAATTTTCAAGTACATAGTACCCATATCTAATAAAAAAAAAATTAATATTACTATTTACCAATATTTGTAACGTTTGATTACCCTGAACACGCCTTAAGATGGTCGCGGGGCGTGGTTGGTGTGGCGGGGAGGGAAGGAGCGCTTGTCTGTATAAATATTCCTTTGTCACCCCACAGGAGTACCATACATGAAAATGACGTCATTTGACAATTTATATATATATATTTTTTAAACGTCAAATAATTCTAATTTGTAAGCTGAGCGCTTATAAACACCTCAATCGAGGAATAATTTGCTATTGAATGTCACATACCTACAAATTAAAGGCTTAACATAGAAACCGAATACATTTATTGAGCGTTAAAGTAACATGGTTAGACCCTTATTTTGTATAGACTGGATTTAATGACAAAATTAGACATAGGATTAGATTAGGTAGCTATACTTATATACATATAATATTTATATAAAAATGACAAATCAACGGAAACTACAAGCCTAATTAATAAAATTTCCGTTAATTAGTAACATAAATATACCCATAGACAATTCTAATAAGAAACGCAGTACGCCATATTATCTGTGGAACTGAACACTACGCCCCACTCGCTGTTTAAGTGCGCGCGCATCAATCGTTTCAACAAGACGAATACATACACAACAATTTATATTTATACATACATGGTCTTTTCAATAACATACCGTTTACAGCTTGTAAACGTTCACACTTATAACATGCGAAATTATTACAAATTTTCATCAAATTGTAAACATGTTAAGCCAGTGAGCAGTTCTCTTAATTTGCAAATACATATTAAATTTTTACACAACAATGTGTAAAACTTTTCATATTGTCGATAAAATACTTTTACACATGTGTAAAACTGTTATAGTATGGATAATAATTATGTTTTACACATCAAATGTGTAAACCTGTCAACAACCAACAGTTTTATAGATAAAACATGTAAAACGTAGATGTTTCTTTATGTGTAAACAAGTATAAAAACAGTTTTACACATCCAATGTGTAAATTCGTCAACAGTACCGACAAATTAGTTTTACAGATCAAACATATAAAAATATACATCAAAATGTGTATTTGTCAATATGTTATTATTATTTCAGCCGTTAGCTGTCCACTGTTGGACATAAGCCTTCCTCATAAGGGGAGTTTTGCTATTAGTTACCACTCTTGGCAGGCGGGTTGGCAATCGCAGTTAGGCTTTTAGAGATGTTTAAAGATGGACTCTACTGTCTATCCCTCGCTCACAACATTTGTCTATATATACAATATATTTTTTTTTTATACATAATAGCAAACAAGCCATTGACCTACCTGATGGAAAATGTACACATAGTACTTAATGTAAAAGTGTTACATAAAATATTATGTGTAAAATAATTTACGTTACTTTTACACATATGATATGTAAAAACTGTTTTACATTTCATATGTGTAAAATAATTTACGTGACTTTTACACATATGACATGTAAAAACTGTTTTACATTTCATATGTGTAAAAAATTTTATACACTCAATATCATGTGGAAAACTATTCTATCGACAATCTATCGAAGCATTTGTAAATTAGCAGAATCATAAATGACGTCACATAATTTCCTCGAGACAGCAAAACGCAAATATTACAAAATTATAGATATAATATTTACAATATACATATATCTATAATTTGAAGTGAGTATGTAGTTACAGGACTATTGAAACGACCGACGCGTGTACACATGCGGCCGCCGTCTGTACCGAGCAGCCCGCCGGTGCGTTTAGCGCGCACTGCCAGACTTACTGTGTTGGATTAGCCACTGTAAGGTGATGTCTATGTTGTCTTTCTCTTTGCACGAGATAGAGTAACAGCAGATCTCCCGGTCTTGGATAGCTGAAAGGTTCCTGGAAAGAAAATATGCGACGTTAAAATATAGCGATACCTAACAGTAGCTAGTTAACTTGGCATTTAAAACGAGGCTTCAGGTGTTGTGTTGGTTGCTTAGTGTTTTAAACAGAACTGTTTATACTACTCTTTCCAAACTATATTTTTTTATATTACTATAGTGGTATAACTAAGCATATGGCCCGTCTGATGGTAAACAGGCATACCATAGCTTATGGATACTTGTAACACCAAGGATATTATGCGCGCCTTGCTGACCCATAATAAAGCTTAACATGCCCTTTTTAAAGAACCCCATGCTGTAGTTTTAAGGAAACCCTCTGCAAGAAGATCATTCCGCAACCAATGTTCGAGGGAGGAGGCACCTCTGAAACCGCACTGTGTGTTATTATTTCCCTTTACCATAGACATACTATTACTGATAAGGATATCAGTGAAGGAAAAAAAATATAAAAATAAAAATTCTTTTAACTTTTCTTTTTCAATTCTTAAAATAGAAACATACAAGAAATTTCTTGAGCCACGTAACACCAAGCTTAGATAAAATAAAATACAACACACATACATATATACCAATATACATGTATATACCAATATATGTATGTACACTTTAAACAACCATGTGTGGTACCAAGAAATACCATGCCATACTATACAAATCCTCTGCCTTGAAATCTATGTAAGTACTAACATTCTTTCGATGAGCCCGTGCTCGTCTAACGCGTGCGGCAGGTCGCGCTTGTTGCCCAGCACGAGCACCGGTATGCCGGTCAGCTGCTGCTTCTCCAGCAGGCTGTGCAGCTCGTTGCGGGACGCCTCGATCTTATCTTGATCGGCCGCGTCCACCATGTATCTACATATAACACACAATTTTTCGAAAACACTGTACGCTAGTAATGGTGGCCAAATTCAGCAAAAAACAAATTATGTAACTAAATGTTTGTTCATTTTTTTGTTAACTCCTATTTTTGTTGCTTTGTGTACAGCGCCTTGTATCTATATTGTTGCTACTTGTGAAAACCTATTAGTGGCTTATTTTATTATCCTAAAACTGTATCTATTTGCTGTAGTGTAGCCCTGGTTTTCCTATGAATAAATAAATAAATACATATACTTCATTACTGCATCTCATTCATGTTAACACGTTTTAGTATATCAATCTTGTCTTATGTCTTGCATGTATACAATTAACTATGTACATTTTTTATTGTTATCTATTGTTTTTTAAATAAAATAAATAAAGAAATTACATATGTTTCTTTTCTCAATAATTAAGATTATATTGAACAAAAAAAAACCGTTTCAATTGTGGTAAAACCAATTATTTTGAAAATTTAACTACTGAATTGATTTTGATTGGGACCAGTCTCTAAGTGGAAGGAGACTTTGTACAAAAGTCGATTGCTTGGGTACCTCTGTCCCATTCGTGTTTCTATCGTGAAGCAGTTGTGTTTGCATGGCTGTGTTTCGGTTTAAAGGGTGGGATATGGCGTGAATTTACAGGGTACAGAGGAATACAGAGGGTTGCCATTCCTGAGGACTCAGGAATGGCAACGCATGAGAGGTATCATGAACGAAACAGTATACTCTGTTATGTCCATGGTACTGCTCATGTCTTTAGGTGACGGTTACCACTTTCCTTCAGGTGGGCCGTCAGCTTGTTTGCCATTCTAAGTTATATAAAGAAAAGTGGCAACGGTCACTAAAGACATGACCAGCGCTATGGATATCACAAAATATACACACTGTATTGGCTAATATTTTGGTGTGGTCCAGCCATAGAATAGGCCACCCGTTCCTTTCCCGTGGATGTCGTAAGAGGCGACCAAAGGAACTTAACGGTCGAGGGACAGGCAGCAGCGTCCCTCTTAAAGCATCTCTAAAGCCTAATTACGGTTGCCAATCCGCCTGCCAATTATGGAAACTACTGGCAAAACCCCCCAAGAGGGAGGCTGATATGATGATAATTGTCTAATATATCTTTTGCTATCTTTTACCCGCGACTTCGTCCACGTAACCGGGATGTTTCGAAGTCTAGATCCTTCTCTGTGTCATTTAGCACGTGTTTACCAAAATTCATAGCCATTGGTTACACAGTTAAGGCGCTGTAAGCTCACAAACAAACTCACTTTCATACTTTTATTTTAGTAAGGAAAGGATTTTATAATTCATTCTATCCTTGTGCTATCAATGTTCATGTCTGCAAAAAGAGAATTCCTTCGAAAGTATTTTACAAATCGTTAGTGCGACAGCGCTGTTACGGTCAAATGTAGAAAATGATATGGCTAAATAACTAAAAGAAAAATTTAAAAAAAAGCTCCCAATATAAGTTTGCATGTTGCATATAAGCATGCAAAAGACTTGCACTTACACAATAGCATTGACACCTCGGCAATACCTCTCCCACATAGAACGGAACCTCGGCTGACCACCGATGTCCCAAACCTGGAATTTTGTATCACACGATTAATTTTAACCCTTCGCGTTGTTTACACATATTTTAAATACACAATCGGGACTTAATGCGATAGATTTTTTTTTACAAGTAAATAGTACCTATATACTGCTACTTTATTGCCGACGTTTCGACGTGGATAACACTAAGTCGTGGTCACGGCAGGACTGAAGTGAGCGGCGTTTTTCATCACGTTAAATCCCGATAGTGTATTTAAAAAATATATGACATGTGTATTTTGTATTTTAAGCATTGTATAAGAATTCTTTAACATGTAATTTTATTGTCCAAATAGAAATAGTACCAGAGGGAAACTGCACAAAAGTCGTCTGCTTGGGTACCTCTATCCCATTCGTGTTTCTGCTGTGAAGCAGTTGTGTTTGCATGACTATGTTTCGGTCTGAAGGGTGGGATATGACAATGAAATTACAGGTACAGAATTATAACATCTTAGTCCTCAGCAATGGCAACGCATGGGGGTATCATGGGCGATAATAATTAAAAGCTCTTGTACCTTTATAAGATTTAGAAAATCTTATTATTTACCTACGTGGTGATGAGCGTCATATAAAAATTTTATATACAAAATTTAATCAATCAATTTTCACACTAAAATATTCTGTGTGAATGAGTCATTGTGAAAGTAGAAGTATCAAATAATGACAATGTAAATATGTATTTACAAATAATAATAATTCATCAACGTTACAGTAATGTATGCCAACTGTAAACATAGCGGAGTTGATTAAGAACTAATTACTTATCTATCAAGAAGCTATAATTGTATTTATTTAGACTATTATTTATTTATAAATAAATAAATTTTACAATAATCACAATCCAAAGGTAAGACAATCGATGAATGATAAGAACAATACAACAATAGAAAGTGACATATAAAAAAAATTAAGTTAATAAAAGAGGTCCACATTGTGGACGCGGTCCTACCTTGATTGTGACATTTCCTTTGGTGATTTTGCGCATGTTGAAGCCAACAGTGGGGATCATATCTTCACTGAACTGACCAGACTGGAACAAACAAACATTATATGTTATTCCATTTTAATTGTTAGGCATACACAACAGATTACAATCAATAAAATAAAATAACATTAAAAAACATTTATAGAAAAACAATTTGAACTAGATCGAGATCCAATTGTATATATTCAACTAATTTTACCTTACACAATATTCATATAATTCTGGCGCTAACCACGTTGACCTACTTTCGAAATATGGAAATTTATTTACTTTATAACATTTACAAGAACAAAGATTTTTATTCTCTCTGTCTAACTCAAAAGGAACTGGCGTAAAAATAGGGCAGAGATTACGTCGTTAGTACCAACTGAAATCGATGTATAAAAACGATGACACTGTCCAGTATAACATTTTAGTTTGAACATTTGAATTTACTGGGTACAGAGGATAACACCTGAGTCCTCAGGAATGGCAACGCATGAGGGGTATCATGGGCGAAACATTCTTATATCTGCCAGCCCTTAAGACAATTTTTCTTTTTAACATGCAACATAGCAATGCCTCTGAATACCCCACCAGGGATTACAGTTTTTAAACAATTGACACATTATAAAGACACTACTGTATTAATACTCCTAATAGTAAATTCCCTAAGAATAATGTGAAATGTTTGGAAATTCCTTTTACGCCACTTGTGGCAGAGACAACATTATTGTATTATTTTTATTTTTCTCAAACAAGCTTTGTATGAATGTATGAGTAATCATAAAGAACTGATAATATTGACACAAACAATCGCCTTATTATTAAAGGATATGTATTAACATATTTTTGTACAGATAAGATAAATGTCAATGAACCAATCCATAAATACTGTTAATATTTCAATATTATCTTAGAAATATAATAAAAGTGTAACAAGATATCTGTACATGAGAGATATTTAAAAAAAAAACATTAGAGGTCTTAATAAGACTTCATTAATTTTCATTTAAGAGTTTCCTCTTGTCAGTGCAACCAATCCATGCATCTTCCTCCAGCCAGCTCTATCTCAGGCCATATCCCTTATCTCCCTATACGACATGACGCCTAGACGAAATAAGACTTATAGAGACCAAAATAATAAATTTCAGAAATCTTGTCTGCCTGTCTGTAGGTTTGTTCCGGCATCACACAGAAACTACTGCACCAAATTGAATGCAGTTTCCACAGTTGTGTTCCTAAAGGTCTAACTTAAAATCTGGTGTATGTTTTATTGAGATAGCAATCTAAAAATTATCTATGTAATTAGTTTTCCTTTCTTAAACCAGGCAAAAAATTCTAATTGAAAATATATATATTTCAATATTATCAATGTTACCTAATAGTAATACTATTAGTAATGGTAATAGTACAATATATTCCCAAAGAGGGTTGATGTCAAGCAGGCAGCCGGTCGTAAAACTATGAGTCAAATCTTTTTACAAAAAGATTTGACTTGAATATATATATATATATATATATATATATATATATATTACAGTTTTTATAGTATATATTACAATATAGATAAAAAACATATTATGCTGACCCCAAATAAATTGGAATAAGGGTAGGAAGACAATGAATAGTATAATATGTAGCACAATACATATACATACTTTCACTTGTTTAACAAAGAAATGGTAGGAAGGAATCCCTAATTTTTTTTATATGCACAATGGCCTAAATGAGAGGCTATGCGTGGAAAAGAGAGTCCAATTTACATTTACATTATGTCCTCTCTTTTAACTTCATAATATTTTGCTAATCATGAATAGAAAGCATCAAAAATGGTTTCAATTAATAAAAGTATAATTGAACTGTATTATTGCATCATTATATAAAAACTGATCATTGTCATTACGCAAATGTGAAAACGATTCATGACTTAACATAGATATAAATTTGATTATGTATTGACTGTAATTCAGCTGTACGTTTTCCAAAAAAAATAAATAAATAAAATTAAAAAATAAGCTCATGTCTGTAGTCCCTGATAACATTTATTGATTGTTAACATTATGGTGAAACCAATTATTATGTCCATATTTAGTCTGGTAAAAGTAGAAACTACCATAGCAATTAGCACTATATTTTTATAAATTTATATATTATTTTGATCTTATAAATTAATAAACACATACAGTCTACAAATTATGACTTATATTTTATAAGAAATCAGAGACCTACCACAAAACTACCACTAAAAAACCAAAACCCAGCTAACTTAGAAAAGTTATATTACCTAAATTGTTTGCTATAATGGCAAAAAATCTGACCATCCAGATAAAGGAAAGTAATTATGAATATGAAAAGTGTTATGAAAGTATTAGTAACCCAACCGGGCTTTGCATGGGTAGATAGATAGAAGATCTCTCATTAAATAAATTACAACGCATATTTTCTGCTGATATTTTAATTTACTTTTTCTTTTTTTTAAGTGAACGGATTTTTAAAATCAATTAAGTTTTTTTTTTAGTGTCTCCATTAAACAAAAAAATATATTTAGTTTTATAATATTAGATTATAATAAACATTACTCATTATAATAATACACAGAATAAGAAGAATGGATGCAAGCAAAATTATTGCTATTCCCGAACACTAGGTAGTAACACCTTCATACATAACATATCAAGTAAATTCACTGCAATATCCCACCCATCATCCCAAAACACATCTGTGCAAGAATATATTCAATACATCAATACATCATGTATTGAAACTCATCTATGGATGATGTTCTCATATAGAAAAATTGTCTTATTCATTTTATAATCAAATTTATAAGAAAAAAGCTTGTAAATGCACTAGAAAAGTTGTCAAATATCACCATAACAATTATATGTATATAACAATGCATAAAAGGGGATAAAATATGAGAATTCAAATTATATAAAGATAGAGAAATCTTTAAAAAAATAGTTCTCTTTGTCCATGAAAACTAACTAGGGTGAAAATAGATAGATAAAAATACAGATTTGAGCACTGAAATAGATTAAAAGTTATTTATTATAATCATACCTACTGAAAATATGAATACCTACATCATTTTAGCTCACTGTTCAATGAAACATTGGCCATTTAACATATTCCATTGAACATTCATTATCACAAAAAACAATTAAAACTTCATAATACAATTGTTGAGTCATCATCATTTCATGATTTAAACTACATACAATAGTCATTAGACAAAATGCTAAAGTAACTTCAAATATTTCAAAATTAACATATCATTAGACGTAAGATATTTTTAATTTCTTTTTAAAATACACAACAAAGTGCGTCATTTTGTTACAATGAAAGTGAGTAATGCGGGCACAAAAACAAAATGCAGACCTAAGAATGGTACATAAAATATACTAATCCCAATTTGCCGATCGATGAAATGAGTCGACCAATATATTTGTATTAACAGGCGTATTGTGTCCATGTATATCATATAACACTGGAATACATAACAATACGGATACAACGATAAATATTGTTTTAGACAATACTAACAGCAATGACGTTAACAAAAGTTGTCTTTCCCGAATACTGCAATCCCACCAACGTAAGTTCCATCTCCTCCTTCCAAAACAAGCTTTTGAACCAATCAAGGATACGATTGATCAAAGCTAACATTTTTAACGATTATTCACTGCAATTTTTAAGAGAAAATGTAAATTAATAAACGCCTCTCCGAAAAACTGCTGAGAATTTGACATCTGGCAGAGCTTCTGGCTCTTGTCAAATATGTCAGTTGCGTTTTGCTTTTGCTTATGGGGGTACGGTTGCCTTCATGAAATAAAAAATATAATCGATATATAAATAAATTAAAATATGTTTGCTAATATTAAACAACACTGCTATTATTATAAATTACAGCAAATTATAGTTATTGTAAAATATTTACATAACACATAATTATTATGCTGTACGTACTCTTTTGAATATGATTTAACTAAACGTAATTTTTATTTCTTTTAATTGAAGGAAAAAGCAAAGAGAATTCTATGTCAATCTTTAACTTAAATAACGAATTATTTCATTTTGGAAAACAATATATTTATTTTTATTTTTTACAGATCCATTAATATCTTTTGCAACATTATGAGAAGACATAAAGGTTAGATTGAATATAACGGTTAGAAAATAATAAAATAGTACATTTAAGTAAGTACATAATTATACCATTCTGCAGACAATTTTGTTTATTTTTAAATATCTCTTTAAATAACTTTAAGGACCAGATGAAAATAATGGTAGGCGACAAATTCCAAATCTGTACTTTATCTGTTTTTTTTTTTTTTTTTGTTTATACAAGATTATTAAATAGATACGTAATGCACTTATTTACTTAAAAATAATTCCTTGGTTATATTTTCAGACGAATTACTCTAATGTAGTATCAATACAATAGCAACCATTTAAATATATAGCAAATTAGACATAAAGCTAACAGCATACACTGCAATAGTAAAAAAAAGGCTCAAGATTTATTGTCAATCATCATCCTGATACATTTTGTTAAAGAATCCGGCTCGAAGGACTAATAAATAAAATCGGGTTACAGAAATTATATCTAAGCTAATAGACTGTACCTACAACAATATTTATTATAATAAGTTATCTATTATGTTGCAATAATATAAAAAAATAAAATTCAAGTTACGACATAACAAAAACAAAAGAATTGAACATAATATGAAAAGCATTAATACCCAGTACTGGATTTAATTTTTTGAACTATAAGTGTTGCAGTCAAAACTCTTAACCAGTCAAAAATACTATTGACTAGCAAAATCAGTCAAAAGTACTTTTGACCGTATGCGTCAATAATACTTTGGACTAAAATAACAGTTAACAAAAGTTGTCTTTCCCGAATACTGCAATCCCACCAACGTAACCTAACCTAACCCTAAAGTACTAATAACCAATAATTTTCAGTGAAAACCACTTTTGACCAACCTGTTCAGTCAAAAGTACTTTTGACTGATTTTGCTAGTCAATAGTACTTTTGACTGGTTAAGAGTTTTAACTGCAACATAGGCACAGATAATATAATAATAGCTTTTTTTTTATGGGTGAAAATGGTATGGTAACCCCGCCTGCGCTAACGGGATACGCTGGCGGAGCACCAGTGAAGGGTGATCGATGAGGATGAAGTAGTTCAGTTAGCCCACCATGACAAATTCAATAAGAATTGTTCACGATGGTTTCCAGGGGGAACCACGTGGAGGTCGATCTAATAGGGCATATTGCTAACAATGGGGCTGTCAAACTCCATTGTTATCAACCCCTTTCCCCCCTAAAAAAAACTATTAGATTAGGTCAGTGTTTTTCAAAGTGTGTGTCGCGACCTCTTGAGGGGTCCCCGAGCCTCAACAAGGGGTCGCAGAAGGTCTCGAAGCAGTGAAAAATTAACAGTTCCGTAAATACATCAATCAATAATAATACATAATGAAGTATCTATAACAGACATCGATTACATGTCTGTTTTAGATACTTTATTATGTATTTTTTATTTTATTTTGTGAATATATCAAATCAAATCAAATCATTTATTGCACGAATATGGGTACAAACATTAGATGAAAATAATAATTACATGTCCATTATTCCATATTCTACCATATCGGCGTGCACAATATAAAATTAAAGTAATAATAACTTAAAACAATAAAAATAATGTCAATAATAATAAAACCTCGTGAAAGCCGAAACCGAGAAGAAGAGAAAATATCTCGACCTGGCTCACGAGGTGACCGAAATGTGGGGGGTGACATCTACCGAAATCATCCCAATCGTTATGTCGGTGAACGGTCTTATCCCAACCAGTCTGGAACAACATCTCAGACGGCTGGGATTCCGAGGCGGCTCACTCCCGGGAAAGATGCAGAAAGCGGTGCTCTTAGATTCTGCCCGCATTGTACGCCGGTTTCTCTCCCTGGGGCCCTGAACCCCGGCCGACTGTGCTTCTGCCGGGGGTTAGTTGCCATCTCCTCTCCTTAAGAGGGGAGATGAGAATTTTAGTGAAATTTAAAAAATAATAATAAAATGTAAAAAATGTCAATAAACATAATTAAATTGTATGTCTAATATTTATCATTGTAATAGTCATGCAACGTATAGTAACATTTGGCTGTCAAATATTCTTTTGCTTTTTTCTTAAATACATTTAAACTGTTAAATATTATATATAAATATTATACATTTAAATATAAATACAACTATATGGTTTTTTTTTATTTAATGCATGATTAATGGTATGGTAACCCCGCCTGCGCTAACGGGATACGCTGGCGGGGCACCAGTGAGGGATGATAGGTGAATAATGAAAAAAGCGAGTCAGTCAGCCCATCGTAACGAAATCAATGATAAATTAGTCATGATGGTTTCCAGGGGGAACCGCGTGGAGGTCGATCTGATATGGTATATTGTTAACAATGGGGACTAACCTCCTCATTACTAACAATCCCTTCCCCCAACTGTATGGATTTCATAATTGTACTATAATAAAATTCATACACATTCGAAATAATATATAATAAGGGGGTCGCAAGTTATTTTTACATAATAAGGATGTCGCGTCATGGAAAAGATTGAAAAACACTGGGTTCGGTTAATATTGCAAATGAAAAAAAAAAATAAGTTTCCGATACTATCTTAATAGCTGGACGTACAGTAATAGTATAAAAGGTTGTATTTTTTTGTTTTTTGTTTTCATGGTTTTTTTTTTTTTTTGGTGGTTTGTTTCTAGTTTCACAGCGAGAACACTACTTTAAAAGTATATTAACGATTTCAATTTTACCCTGTAGATAAAATGTTTAAAGTTTGTATAAATTTTCATCAATAACTAAATATAAGTACTTATAATATAAATATTTTTCATTCATAATTTTACAATAACTATCAATGTAACAATCGTGTACGGTCAAGAACGTAAATGTAAGTAACGTGTACACGTAACGCGCTCCGAAAAACAGTCGAGTATACGAATGAGGTGCGCGGTGCGAGCGCGTGACGTCACCTAACGACATCACCTCGGTCACGTGCGGGCGAGCGTGGCCTAGAGGCCGGTCCGTCTCTGACCCGATCGTACATACCAATACCAATAATTCGTTCTAATTATACAGCCAATTTATAGGGGCAAAATTCGATTTTCAAATTGGAGAATTCATTAAATGTTTTCACATTGCGTAGCTCCGTGCCTTATTTTGACGCCGCCGCGCTGAAGCAAGTGTCACATGACTCGCCGGCCGGTCGAGTCGAGGTGCTCGCTTCAGTCAGACAGAATACTTCAGATCGGGCGCGAAGCTCTCGCGTTATCAACGTTATTACTGTTAAGCGTTCCGTCCTACATGCAGTTAAATACGATAAGAATTTATAATCGCTGTGTAAGGTTGACAGAAATGGATTGCCAGGACATAACCTAAGTTTATTACCTAGTGTTGTATTCGCTGATGGAAATTGTCAATTGATTGTTTCTATGATATTTTTTTATTAATTGTGACAGTGTTGATACAGTGATATTGTTTATTTGTTTGTGTTTTTTTTTTGTTGACTTAAAGTGAATATGGAAACCCGGCACTACTGGGAGGAGAACGGACATTCCGTCAAATATGATAAGTGAGTGTTAACTGCCAAGTACATACTCGTGCCTACCTACATATTATTTTACGCATTATCAAAACAAAATAGATACGTAAAGTGTAGATACGTTATATAAAACAACAACTTTACATTTTTCACTGCTGTTACTCGTATTATGAGGGTATCCATTGACCCGTATTATTGTTAGATCTTAATTTAACATTCTAATTTCTTATTAATACCTACTTGGCCCTGCAAATAGCCAAATGACTGATTTATTGAACTTATTGTTTGTAAAGAAAAGAGAACCTATCGACTTGAATAAAGTTTAAAATAGATTTATACCTACCTAGTTACTTAGACGTATTTAAGAGCGGGGCCGTGTAGGCCGTGCCCACCCTAGAATTGTCTCGTGCCCACTACAGAATGCAAATGAGAGCATTCAACTATGCACAAAGTACATATTTGAGAACATATATATATAAGCCTTGACCTTGAAGGGCTCAGGCCCCCTGGAAAATATTCTTAAATACCTACGCCAATGCTTGGTGATCTACTCATTTTATTGATTTATATATTTCTTTGAAGATTTCCCAGAAAACTGGAGGTTATGTAACTTTTATTTAGATTCTATGTAGAGTTGCTTATCTAGATACGACAGTGTTGATCAAGAAGGTTATAGGTCATACGTACGAAAAATTTCGTACCGGAAAAATATCCCAAGAGGTAGGTAAATATGTAATCTCTTATTTACTAACCGATTTAATTAAATCGAATTTTTCTATCAATAAAAAAAATTAAATAGGGCACTAAAATAATAAAAGTAATGCACTCGTGCCTATTTGAATCTCACTTGACAAGAAAAGACTGGTATGAATTTGGTTAAAGATTATTACTGTAAAAAAAATTGTAGTGTAATCAATACAAGCAATAAGAAGAATTCTGATTTGTTCAATTTAAAAAATACAAAGTTAAGAAAGCTAATTATATTATCCTTAACTTGCCCATCGATTCACTCGCATTGATCTTCCATTTCTGTGGAAATTTACTCAGGTAGGTCTAGTCTATCTAGTGTACACTATGTGTCTACTTAGATATTGCTCAAATATTGCTCAGATATTGCTCATAGCATAGCTTTCTGTTAGTATCAGAATTTTTAGAATCGACTGACTAATTTCTGTAAATAACCTCCTGCATACGAACAAACAAATTATAATATTAATATCTGTTTTACCTACTTTCATTCTTCTTACTAGCATTTGTTAGTTTAATACGAGTTCTTGTAGGTATTTGAACAATAATAGGTAGATATCTACAATCTGAACTTCAAAAGCAGACGATGCCTATAGCGATAGGAAAAATACAGGACGGTCTTTTGTTCGGGCGGTCGCTATACCGATTAAACCAGTAGTAGTAATGAAAATAAATAAAAACGCGCCAGATGAAGGACAAAACTGTTTTTTATATTTGTTTTGCAAGTTAATTCCTTAACTGGATTTCATTATAACATACTTTTTCAGACATATACAACTCTAGATATCATTAGAAATGAAAGGAAGTTTTTTGGATAATAAAGAATGTTTTACCTGTAAAATATGTTATGAATATGCGTATTTTACCAAAACAATGACATGCAAAATTTTTGTATTTATAGTAATTTTTTTCAAATATTAAATAAAAAGAATAATATAATAAGTATGTTTATAAAGTGGAAATTTCTTCCAGTCCATTAAGTCCTTAATTGAATAATAACACTTGTCCAAAAGTCAATTGTATAATGTGCCCTTAAATTGTCTAAGTGTCTTTATATTTATAATATTGTCTGAAATATTATTAAAAATTCGTATATACATATTATATTTTTCTTTTTATAAATCGTAGTCCTAGGAATTCTATTTAATAGCAACCTATTTGGATTTCTTTTATTTGAATGATAATTCTCTTCGGCAGTAATAAAGCTGTTTAAATATTTATTTTCGACTAAAATATTACAAACTGTAATGTTTTGGTGTCTGCTTTGCCATAACCACATGAATGATCGATGGACAACCGAAATAGGTAATGGTGTAATAAATGGGTGTGAGATCTCAACTGTCTGCATTGCGATAAGTACCAATTGTCTAGTTTACACAAGTTTACAACATTTACATTTACATTCAAACATTTACACAAGTTTAATAATTGTTCATGAGAGTATGATTTATAGTGGATGGCCCCAAGACTGATTCAGGTGAAAGGGTGACTTATACTGTTATTATAAAATTCTGTAACTGTCAGTTTAGTTTATGACGTTGGAGCACGAGTACTATAGATTTCGGTCCCAGACTTCTGAGTACTTATTTTTGAATCCTCAGCATCGATACTAAGAGACTTACTGTGTCTTTCAATCCATTGCAAAATGATTTTAGTTAGTGACTCTAGTACCTATGAAGCCAGAGCTTCCTCTTGTTTAAAATAAGTTAAAGGCTGATGCACTCCATGAGATAGTTTTAATGAAAAGTTCTTAATATTTCTGGTTATGCTAATTTCTATCGCTGTAGTAATATATACATTTCAATCAAAAATTGTATTTTATTTATCCAGCGTAGTTTAAGTTTTTGAGAAGATGACTACTTTGGGTTGGTGCTTTCAAGTGTGTCGAAGCCATCGGCAATTATCCCTCCTTAACACCAGATTATTACTATTATATAACTGATATTCCAACTGATATTAACGTTTGTCAAAGGTCGCTCTAACATCTAGTGTAATAATACAGGTGTGCACTGTGCCTCTTTTAAAATAAACGAGATTGATTATCTGCTAGGAACTCGCTACTAATGATTTATTTTTGTTTTTGTCAAAATCGATCTTTCTTAGTATTTATCGCAATTGTAATATCGGGTTTAACAATCCGCATGCACTTAAAAACTTATTTACTTAATAAACTTATATTAAAGAAAACAAAACTTGAATTCATGTTAATATAGGTTTATTTGTAATTCTAATTAACCCCGTTACCACTAAATGCCTAAGTTAGGCTTGGATACTACATGTGCCATTAATATTCTATGGCTTGGAGCTAAATCGACATCACGTTTCACTATTAATATACTGCAACAACTGTTTGGCATATTAATTGTGATAAACCGGATAATCGGATTAAAGTCCGGATATAGATGAGCAGACACGTCTCTTATACACGACTACGGGAATTTTAATGATGAAATTGATTACAATGACTGCTAAAATTAATTAGTAGAAGTGACATACAACATATTTAAAGACTACGTAATGTCTTATATAGAGCATATGGTGATTATGTCTTATATATTAATTAAAAAAAAGTTGCAACCGTCAAAAGAACATTTGCTGACTATTTGAGAAATGGTATACCTGCATAAAAGAACTGTCACCGTCAAATGTTACAGGCTCCATGGAAAAAGAAAATTGAAGGTGAAAGTTGCATACATAAACATGACATATTTGAACTCAATCGATTACCATATTTGTCAGCTGCTTAAAAAATAGGTTATCAATTTTAAACTATGTAGAAAAAACGAATAAATACATACGTACGAATAAATTACTTGAGTTAAATAAAATAAAAACTTAGCAGTTTTATTATGATGCTTTGCATATGAAAAAAGAAAAAAAAATAGTACCAATCTATTCAAACGAATGAATGAATCATTCACAGATATAACATTACAATAGTTATTTCATGCCAATTATTTGCATTGCCTTTATTTCATATAAACAAAGTTTTAAATTTAGAACAAAGTTAATTAACCTACACGTGTACGCTTTTCATGAGCTTGCATATAGAAAGAAGGCCACACATTAACAATACAATGACGTTCAGACAACATTCTTGATGTAAAATACGTCACGGACTTGCAGACAGATTGTTTGCTCCTGTAGATCAGTTTATAATATTTGTCATCGTGATCGCCCATGAACAAAGATGTTTTTTTTTTCTCAGGCCTTGGACGTAATACAATATTTTTTATAGTTTTTGTCACTTAGATATATAGTTTTTGATGGGCCTAAAAGAAATAGATATCTTTACCCTAGAATTTTAAGATACAGGAAACTGTATTGTTACTCCGAGGGAATTTAAATCTTGAATAAAAATACCCAAAAACTGGTTCACTAATTCATTATTATAGTAGTCAAATCTTAACCGGGGCACTCTTAAATACCACAGACTACCATACTGTTATCTATAATATATCTAGAGTAAGCAACATGTTCTTTAATAATTTATCTAATCAGTCATTCACATAAAAACTAAGTTATGATTATAACTTTTTTGATAGTTAAGTATATCGTATAACAATGCGTATATAATCTAGAGGTGACTTATTTTGAATCTACTTTAATAAGCGTATGCAGTTATTGAAGTTGATTAAAAATAAGTCACTAATTATTGTGTGTTTGTCATGCAAATCATTACCGTAAAAAAAATTCATGGTTACTACAATTGATTTGCTGATTAGGATAAAAAAGTTAACTTTCATAAAGAACTATAGTTAGTATCTTTATAGTACAGTATTAATTTATATTTTGTTAAACATGAACATTTGTGTTTTCAACTAAAAGATCAGTCTTTAAATATTTATCTTTTAATTAGCAAGGTGATTTATTTGGTAAATTATTTTATCAATTGGTAAATTGATAAAATTAATTGTAACTTTTAATGTTAACAATTAAATTGGTAAACAGGTATGTTTACCAGTTAAATTGTCTTATTAATTAATATTGAAGTCTTACAACATCCAGAAAATAAAAGGCATATTTTGTACCGCAAATTATAAAACGACTTTCCTGTCATGAAATGGACTATTTTTAACAATTTATGGCCAGTACCATTAGGAATAATGCAACGATATCCCATATATCTAAATTTGCTCAAGTATTTAGAAGTTATAGTATAAAGAAACACCTACATTACCTACATGGATCCTGGAAACATAATCCTTCTTTGAGCAATCAGGTAAAAAGTGAAATTGAAAAAAGTACAAATGATTACATTACATAGAAGATTAGATTATGCC